CCTTATAGCCAGCTGTACAGATGAGAGGATTCAGCGATCCTTTCATGTGAACATACTGAAGGAGTATCAGGAGAGATCAGAGGCTGTCGCTGCAGTGTGTGCCCCTGCTGCAGATGACCCAGAGAATCTACCCCTGCCCGATTTATTAGAGACCCCCAGACTGACCTCACTAGTCTTGTACAGCTAGGGGATTGGTTAAGCCCGACAGAAAAGGTACAGGCAAGGCATCTGCTGTGGGAGAAGCAGGTGACATTCTCCCAAGAGCCCGGCTACACTACCCTAGCTGTACATAAGGTAGAGACCCCTGGACAGACCCCTCTGTGACATCCACCCTAACGTATCCCTGAAATAGTCCAAGAAGGAATGCGGAAGGAGATACAGGAGATGACCCAGCTTGGGGTCATCGAAAACTCTGATAGCCTGTGGGCCTCGTCTGTAGTTCTGGTACCTAAGAAAGATGGGACCACCCGGTTCTGTGTGGACTACAGGCGATTCAACTAGCGGACCACCACTGACGCCTACCCGATGCCCCGGATAGACGAATTGTTAGATCGTATTACCAGGGGACGCTATCTGACCACCATAGACCTGTGTAAGGGCTACTGGCAGATTCCCCTGGCCGAGGATGCTATCCCCAAGTCAGCATTTGTCACCACGTTTGGCCTGTACCAATTTAAGGTAATGCCATTTGGGATGAAAAATGCCCCGGCTACCTTACAGGAATTTGCTTGTGCATACTTGGATGACATTGTCCTGGTCCATGTAGGAGTAGTGCTGGATTAGATTCGGGCCGCTGGCCTGACGTTGAAGCCAGAGAAGTGCCATCTAGGTATTCTTTCCCCCCTCCCCTGTCCCATAGTGTTATTCCCCCCTCCCCTGTCCCATAGTGTTCCCCCCCGTCCCCCCCAAAAAACAAATTATTATTATTATTGTTTTAATTTTTGCAAATTTGACCCATTTTCAGCCTATTCTAGTGGTGAAGGAGTTCGGCTGATTCTTTGTTCAGGAGTTTGATGTATTCTCTTACACTCCGTTTGGGAGTTTGGCGGTCCACACAGCAGAGCCGATGTCTCGAAGGGGGAAGATCACCGAAACAGCGGTTTCACTCATTTAAGCTGAGAGTGTCTTAACAGTGTTCTTTCCCCCCCTCCCCTGTCCCATAGTCTTCTCCCTCACTCCCTTGCCCCATAGGGTTCTTCCCCCTTTCCCCTGTCCCATAGTGTTCTTTCCCCTACTGTCCCATAGTGTTCTTCCCCCCCTGTCCCATGGTGTTATTCCCCCTCTATCCCATAGTGTTCTCTCCCCCCTCCCCTGTCCCATAGTGTCCCCCCCCATCCCCCAAAAATAAAAATAATTATTGTTATTGTTTTAATTTCTGCAAATGTGACCCATTTTCGGCCGAAACGTGATAGGTATGAAAGGGGTTAAAACCGTTTAAGATGCTCCTTTCCCGAATACGAAGGCAACTACCGATCACTCCAAACAGCCGAACAGGAATCATACGAATCATCCACACTCCAACAGTCGAACAAAAATAACCATACGAATAATCCCCCCAAGTACGAGACAAGGCTCCGTATTGAGGGTCAGCAGGAATCTAGTTCTAGTGGGCTACCTGCCCGGTATTTATGTGGTTCTTCCACCAGGTGGACTATCCCCTACGGGATCTGATGGAAAACTGTGACCAAAATATACAATAGCCAATCATAAGCATACAGGTATAACCCCTCCCACAGGTACATTGTAATCCCTCCTCTCTATCCTGGAGATAATTGGGAAGTAACTCAATTATCTCCGAGGATAGAGACCAAACTCCATTTTACACATGGTAATAAAAATACATAACTTCCAAACTAACGAATGCAATACACACATTTAACATATCCCCAGATAGCTTAGATCTGAGCGCACATTATTACTGAATGGTGCTCAGATCACATACTTACAGTTCAATTGCCATGGAGCCAAAGTCTTTCACATAGTCTTTCGTTATACGAATGGGCTCCATGGGATAGCTATCTGGGGTGACTCCATCCGAATGCAAAAGTATCGAATGGACCGGCGTTCGTATGCTAGAGGAATAGAAGAAGGGAGGTCGGCGGTTTCAGCGGTGTTCATGAGAAATAGTGTCCGTTTTTAGTTCCATGAAATCGTCGACGAACCCTGCTGGGCATTCGTACGTACAAGATGGCCGCCGCCTTGTGTTTGTGCATACGAACGACGACCACCCAGCCGCCATTCGACAATTAGGAAGTGTCTGCGGTTATACACAACGTTCTAATGAGGCCAAGAGGTTAACCAGCAGCACACTTCCATGCTGGGTGCCCGGCCGTTCGGCAAATTGTTTGGTATAAAGGAAACAAGCGTGAGGACTGTATGGACAGGGGAATAGCAGAACAAACAGATGAATGAGGGAACAATAAAAGTATTCCACAGACGGATGGTTCTGTCACATCATATTTATGAAATTCAGAACTTCATAAATACAAAGAAATTATTTAATTTACCATTACAATAGGGGGTACTGTTTTTCACGTGAGACATCGCTGAATACAAATATGTGTATTTTATAGCAGTAAAAGCAAACAGTATTATGACTAGTGATGTCGCGAACCCGAAATTTTCGGTTCGCGAACGGCGAACGCGAACTTCCGCAAATGTTCGCGAACCGGCGAACCGGGCGAACCGCCATAGACTTCAATGGGCAGGCGAATTTTAAAACACACAGGGACTCTTTCTGGCCACAATAGGGATGGAAGAGTTGTTTCAAGGGGACTAACACCTGGACTGTGGCATGCCGGAGGGGGATCCATGGCAAAACTCCCATGGAAAATTACACAGTTGATACAGAGTCTGGTTTTAATCCATAAGGGCAGAAATCACCTAACATTCCTAAATCACAATCAATATGGATTGACACCTGACATATGACATATTGACACCTTGACATATGGATTGACACCTGTCCTCAGAGCTGACGCACGGACACAGAGCAGAATAGAGACTGGTCCCCTACATAGAAGTCACTTAGCGAATATGGATTTGACACCTGTCCTAAGGATCCCTGATACACACTGACACAGAGCAGAAAGGAACTGTTCCTACATAGGGTCACTTGACAGATATGGATTGACACCTGTCCTAAGGATCCCTGATACACACTGACACAGAGCAGAATAGGGACTGTTCCCCCTACATCGGGTGACTTGGCAGATATGGATTGACACCTTGTTACAAACTGCTATTTATAACTGGCCCTTTAAATGGCTAATTTCCCTGCTTCCCTGGGTTTTGGAGAAGCCTATTTGCCAGCCTCCTCCCGCATGACTATGGCCCCTGGGAGATTGTGAAAATGTATGCACTTTTATTTGGTGTGTATGGCCCTTTAAGACTGTCGGTGGGCATATTGGGGCTTATGGACTCTTTATGTGACTGGTGCTGGCCTTTAAACACCTTTTTTGGGACATCAGGAAGATTGGGACACTGCCCCTTTAAGGCCGTGTCCCCAGACTTGATGGGGACACGGCCCCTTTAAGACGGTGTCCCCTGTGTCCCCAGACCTGGTGCAAACCCTTTGTGCCTGCCTTGCTATTTCCCACTTGGTTCAGTAAATGGGAAATTATTTCAGCTGCAGAGACTAAGTCCCATTCAGCGATGGGACTTGAGTAGATTTCAATGAGGAAATGGACCCGACCTCACAGCCCAAGTCTGTAGAGACTGTTTTGGAGCAGGAGAAGAAAATGCTATGATTAGGTCATAAGGGACCTCAGCTAACTTTTTAACCCCTGGATGGATTTGGCTGATTTTTTGGTTATGTTTATGTTTTAAGTGTGCTGATTCCAAATATGTGAGTATGAAGATGGG